ACACCCTTCGCTCCACCAGGCAGCGCATCGGACCCCGTTCTTGTCCGAGACCCATAGTCACACACTCCCACCCCCGCCCAGCCAGGCCCACGGTGACAGTCCCCCAGACACCCCATCGGCCCCACCCCCAGTCACCACACACACACACACACACAACACACACACGTCCGCGCAGACCCGCCCGCGCTCCCTCCCCCGCCTGCCGCCGGCCCGCAGCACCTCAGGGGGCCGGGGATGACCGTAGCCATCTTGCTCCCCGGGTCCTGCCCCCAGCAGGTCCCCGCCGGGTCGGTCCTCCCAGCGCTCGGGCGGGCGCGGAGGCCGCCCATCCATTCATTCCCGGGGGGCGGGAGCACAGGGGCCACAGCCAATCACCGCGGCTGGGCGGGCCCGCCCGGGCCATGCTGGGAGTCGTAGTCCAGGTCTGGGGGCCCGAGGAACCCCGCGGGGAAGGGGGTGCAGAGGTGGGGCCCAGGCAGCACGCACAGTCACCCACACACGCTCACTCATACACTCATCTGGTCTCACGGGTGTACACTCACTCGCACATCTGGACTCGCACGCCCACACACGGCAGTTTACACACACACTCACACGTATACTCACTACCGCCCACGTAGACTCACGCACACTCCACTCCCACACCTCACATACTCACATACATTTACACTCACACACGCACTTCGGAGCCAGGAGACTCAGAGACACCTCACAGGTGCCTACACAAACGTCTCACCAACAACATCTCAGAGCTCGCACAGACTACTGGCTCAGAAAAACCGCCCCCTCCCCTCCCAGCTAGCTCCAAAGAACCCTATCCTGTCCCATTTGGGGCTGTCACTCACGGTGACCCCGCCCGCCCTGTTCAACCCCTTCACAGGCCTGACCGCAGCAGTGCTAATTAAGAGCTGTAGCCACACCACTTAGGTTCAAATCCCGGCTCTGCCATTTGGTGGCCATGTGACCTTGGACAAATTATTTAACCTTTCTGAGCCTCAGTTTCCTCATCTGTGAAATGAGGCTGGTGTCTCACATTATTGCTGTGAGGATTAAATGAGTAAATATAAGTAAAGGGTTTTAAAAGGTACAGGTTAGTAGGTGCTCAATAAATTCATTCATCCCATAGAGGCTCTACTATGTACTAAGATGTAACATGGTGATATTATTACCATTATTAGGAAGAATAATGCCTGGCCTTAGTAAGTGCTCAATAAAAATTTGTTGAATGAATGAATAAATATACTGAACACCACCATGTGCTGAGTACAGATCTAAGTGCTTTACAGGGATTGAATCCTCATAAAGACCCTCTGGGGTGATGTCATTATTACCCCCATTTTCCAGATGAGGACTCTGAAGCACAGGGAGGTGAAGTTATATACATACCTTCAGCCCCGCCCCCCAGGCTGTTTGAAGGTGTGATTGAGAGAAGATTCACTCCCCCAGATGTCTGTCCCCAAGTGGGCCTTGCTATCTTCTCTCTCCCACTGTCACCCACACTGACTCTACCCTAAGGGATCCCCAGAGAGTAAGCTGACTCACCTGGTCACACACACTTGCTCCATGCACACACTCATAGCTCTTCTAGTCCAAACTTTGTGTTCAGGTTTGAGCCTCCGCGTGCAAGAAAACACCCACCAATGTCCTGTCCACCAGGGGGCTCTCCAGCAGAGAGACAGGCATACTAGCCTTCACCTCTTTTGTTACCTAATGCCCTCACCTCCTCCTGGTGAGAGGCCTAGTATGCCCTCCAGCCTCCCATAACCATAGTCACTGCTACACACACAGACACACAGACACACTGACACACACACACACACACACACACACACACACACACACACACACACTTCTAGATTTAGACCCTTGCCACAAACTCTCCCCATCTCCCCCAGGTAAGGCCCTGAGGGAGGGGATTCTGCTTCACATCTGGTCCAGAGTAGATGGCGAAGAAAGTAAGTCAAGGATGCTGGCAGCCCCACGCTCACTGTAGCCTCCAGGCCCCTGTAGTGGCCGCTCCATACACCATCCACAGTAAGCCCTACCCCTGACCCATCAGCTCAGTTCAGAGGGTGCCCTTACCACCTTCCTCTCACCGGCCACCACCCTCACAGATCCCCCGTCACACTCTCTAACACTTGCTCCCCACACCTCCAGCTTCGGAAACCTTGGCTGGCTCCTGCCCCACCCTGAACTCTCATGACAATATGATCAGTTTAGAGCTTGAGTGTAGACACTCTATCATCTCCTGGAAACTGTTGACCACCAGTGTGATTTGGCCCGCAGACACTGGGAGAGGGTCTCCCTCCCTTTCCTCACCCCCCCCTTCACTGATGCCTCGCCCACACTTGAACTCCCAGTTCGCTCTCCTGCCCAAACAATCCTCTTATCCCCACCCACTAGTGCCCTATGGGAAACTGGGCCACAAATTAAATCAATATGGTCTCTACTACTAATAATCACTACATTTAGTCAGGGTCAAGCTCTGTAGTAAGTGCTCTACAAAGATCAAACAGCCCCATGAGGTAAGAAGAACTGTTATAATTCCCCAATTCACAGATGGTAACACTGAGGCTGGGGGCGGAATTAATGGCTCAAGTAGAGGTTTGAAGGCCATCAGAACTCCAAGGGCTGCACCCTCCAGCCTCCCACTCTCAAGGGAATTAGACTTGCACAATGCTTCAGGAGCAAGTCCCTACCCTCACCTCTGCAGAACCCTCAGGAGGTGGGAGCAAAGAAGGGAGCTAGCACTCCCACCCCAATGCTAACTCTGGCCTACAGGTCCCTGCACCAGGCCACACCACACCTGTCCTCCTAAAGGTCTAGGCCAGGGTCAGAGTGAGAAGGCCTGGATACCTACAGATTCATCAGCTGGCACAGGAACTCTGTCCCAGCCAGTTGGAGGGTGTCCCTCATAGGGGGAGACATCTGTCTGTGTGCAGTACTTAAAATGAGGAGGCGGAAAGGTGTCCCCATCACACACCATCTCACACCAGCCCCACACCCACCCTCCAAGCCCTCTTTTGCTCACTGCAAAGTCACACGTGTAGGCGGGTGCATAAGTACCCCTGCCACCCTCCTCTCCCAACTTCTCCCAGCCAGAAATCAGCGGGGCGCTCCCGGGCCCCTCCTCTCTCCTCACCCCCCAGCACACGATGCTCAAGGTCAAGGCGGGGCGGGCATGGGGTTGGGGAAAGTGTATGGGAGGTCGCCCCAGCCCCTTTGTGCGGCGCCGCGGGCGCTCGCCCTCCGTCTCCTCCCCCAGGCCAGGAAGGAGGGGGAGGGGAGCGCGCGCTCTCCAGCCCGGGAGCGAGGGCGGGAGCGGCCGCGCGCCTGTCACTCCGAGCCCGCTGTCACCGCCTGGGGAAGGGGGTGGGGAGCACTGGGACCTGGGAGTCCGGGATCCCGACGGGTTGATGGGGGGATGAGGAGTGGAGGGAGAGAGAGAGGGAGGGAGAGAGATGGAGAGAACCAGGGTGGCAAGGAGACGGGCGAGACGGCAGGGAGCTAGGCGCGAACCCAGGCGTCTGGATTCCCAGGCACTGGGTCCAGTGAGAAGCTAAAGCACGGAGGAGGGACGCGGACAGGGAGAACGGGAGGGAATGCCCGGAGACCGAAGGCGTTCCCAGTACCCTCTCCCGAGGCATCCGGTCCCCAAGAGGATGCAAGATGCTCGAGTTAGATGTGTATGGCGGGGAGAGGGACGGATCTCACAGTCTAACATGACGGGGGCGTCGGGGCTCCTAGGACCTGAAGACCCCGGAGGGAGAAAAAGGGGAGACAACAGGAATCTGACTGGGAACCCCCGACGTCTCGGCTCCCACCCTGCGACTGCATGGGCCGAGGTCCCCGGAAAAAGAGGGGGTAAAGAGAGAAAGGTGCTTTAATGAGGGCGGAAAGGTGGTGGAGACCCTGGAAACTGAGGTCTGGACTTAGGTGTGCGTACTCCCAGCCCCTGACCCTAGACACGGAGCAGAAGATATGGAGGAAGAGGAGAGGGAAGCCCCTACCCCCACTCTGGGTGGGGAAACGGCCTCCGCCACCTCGCACGCCCCGCACCACATTCCTTCACTGACGACGACAAAGAAGAGGCGCCCCCGTGACCCTGAAGGGGCTCCCGCCCCCAACCCCAGGGGTCTACAGGGGGTGGCCCCGGGGGTCCCTATTCAACTATCATCCGCGCACGGCATCCCGTTCCCCAGCGAGGGCGAGGAAAGGGCGTGGGAGATGGAGGGACATGGACTGCGGGGACACTCACGACTTGAGCGGGTTCTGAATGGCGGTGGCCATGGCCCGCTCGGCTAGGCCGCCTCCGGCCCGGGGCGTCGCTGCCGCCGCGCGCGGGCCCAGCCCGGCCTGCACCGCCCGCTCTGTCGCCCAGCGCGCTACGATTTCATTCATTCTTAGGGCTGCGGCGCGAGCGGAGCGGGGCGGGCCGAGGGCGGGGCTCGGCCAATCCCCGCGCCTCCCGGCGCACGACGGGACGTGGAGTCTAGGGGCGCGCGGCGGCGCCCGAGGGCGCCCCTGACCGGACTACACGTCCCAGGGGGCGTCGGGAGGACCGCGCGCCCATTGGCTAATGGGGATACAGGGAGGGGACACAGGGAGGGGTTAGGCTCGCCCCAGAGCATCCTTGTCTCCTCCCTGGGGTGCTCCATTCCCAGCTCCGGCTCTCCAACCTCCAGGCACCGCGGACACGGGAGCAGGTGGTCCCTGGCTTCTGGGTCTCCCCAGGGTACGTGGACAACCACAAGCTCTGTCGTGGATTCTTGTCTATGCCTGCTTGTCTAGGTGTCTCCTCCGAGTAAGCCAGCCTGTGAACAAGCACAGGGGTTAATAATGAACGCCTTTGTTCATTTACTGAGTGTCTACTATGTGC